GAGTTACAATTAGTCTAATGAAAGCGGCATCAGACTGCGTAATTTTGTGGCCAATTTTCATTTGGAATACGTCTAGCACAGGCAGACTGAGATCTTTTCTCTGGAACTGTGTGTTCGCTTTACTTGTTTGTTTGTTTGTTTGTTTGTTTTATGCGTGCATTTGCCTTTTGCCAATTAAAATAAATTATAATCCAATTTATCCGAAAAAGGACAAACGAATTAAATCTGCACTCTCCCAGAACTTTACACAATTACCCTCAGATTTATAGCATTGCAGACAGCGACAGGAACAGGGACAGGGACAGCAGCAACAAAGTCACGAGTTGCGAGTCGCTAGTCGGGCTGCTTCATTGTCTCTGGGGAAGTAAATTCATTTGCTTAAAACGCGAATTGTAAAGTATAATGAAAAGCCTTCATCCTTCGATGGGATGTCGCAGACAGACTGATGTCTGATGTCTGTCTGGGCATTTCCTTTTTGTTCGGTTCGTTTTTTTTTTCTTTCTGTTTGCTCTTCTACCATTGCCTGGCTAAAACGATTTTTTCCTTTCCCCCTTGGCATCGACCGGAGCTTGTCGAAAGCATTTTGACGGTTGAAAAGTTAAATGTCCCCCACTGGGAATTTCCATCTGCTCTAACCATTAACCGAACAATTTAAGGGCTCAAAGTCGAAGCCCAAAAAAGTTAACCTGGAAATTAGTAGCCATCGCAGGGCTCTTGGCTCAATGAGCTAGATTGGCTATGAGCACGCAACAACAGGCGTGCACTGAAGAGTGCAGCTCTATGTATAGAAAACCAATAAAATTATCCTATAGAAATTAAATCGTCGAACTTTCAAATTTCATATCACAAATATGGAATGTGAATTAGGCTATGTAAAAACAAAATGGTTTCTTTGTTACCAACAAAATAACGTTTTTAACAAAGTGAACACTTTGGTAATCCCTAGATTTTTGTGTTATTTAATTTATTTATATTTTATTTATATTAAATTAAATATCGTGACCTAACTAGGACAAAATCATTAGTTGCAGGGACCCAAAACGGGTACAATACTATTTATCCTCCCCTTGCTCCCCTTGCTACCATGCTCATTGCTGACAATGAGCAGAATTCATGTGGCTAACTACCTGTGGATATTCCCTGGCCGACCCTGCCGCCTTGGCCGATGCATGCTGCAATTTGGAAAATAACTTTGGCCGGCAGAAACAGGGGCGGGTTTGGATTTTGGCCTGGCCCTTGCAGTTGCACTCGGGGCTGTGTGCGTGGCGTGTCTGTTTTAATTAGTGAATGCAGAACGTTGAGTGTCTGCTAATTGTGGGTATCCCAGCAGGATATGGGCACGGGGCATACCCTTTGATTTGACGACGTTGAGTGTGTGGCAGCTGTAATTAGTGATAATGGCAATTAAAACGGAGAAAAGTTCCGGCAACAAATGTCGGACAGCCTCATTGGCCTGCCAATCCCGGCCCGGTGTCAGTCGGAGTTGGACTGCGACCCCCGGCTCTATTTATAATTTAATGGCGAATCTTTAAAGCTGGCGAATTCCTCCCTGGCGGCAAACTTTGAGCGTTGACAGCTCCGGCACATCAGTCGGCAAAAAGTCTCTTCCAGGCTCTGCAGCTCCGAGGCTGACTCTAAAGTGGTAAAAACTTTTGCGGTGATAAGCGTCGAGCAACTCTGACACTGGCTGGGGTTGCCTGTTTTGGGGCTCGGGTCGGGTGGTGTTGTCGGTCGGTGTTGGTGCCGCTCGGTGTTGGTGGTGGTAGTGATGGCAATGGCGATGGCTTGTGGCATCGCATGAAAGTATGCAACAGTTTTTCAGCTTCCGCATCATGCCCAACTTGTTACTGCAGCCACAAGGAAGTTAAGATTATGTCTGCCCCGGCTCCCCCGCTACACAAGCTGCTGTTGCTGATGTTTTGGGGTTGATGTCGCATTGTTGTCGGGGCTGCTGCTGCTGCCTTTTGCATCTGTTTTTGTCGTCATATCAGTTCTCGTCTGAATAGACACGTTATCTATACACAATATGGCTTAAAGTGAGCTCGACAGGGCCATCGAGGTGTGAGCTGGTGTGGCAGGCACTGCACGTTTTGAATGATACTCTCGACCTCAGCTCGGCCTCAGCTCGGTCTCAGCTCGGTCTCAGCTTCAACTGAACTCGTTAGCCTGCTCAGCACACAATGTCGTGCATTTCTTTGTGTGTGTTTTCAATCCCTGCCACCGACTCTGCCTCTGTCTCAGACGTGCCGTGCCATTGTGCTCACACAATCTCCTTACCCCTGCCCCGGAACCTGCCCCATACTCACACACAAGCTCATGTGCTGGCAACTTTTGGCCGCTTGAGTTTTGCCAGCAATTATCAACTGCCAAAAGCAGGGCAAAAATTCCTGCGGCTGCTCGTTAGCCACACTTGTTTCTGCATAGTCACAGTCTCATATACTCGTATGCAGATTAATCAACTGAAATAAATCTAAATGAACGCAAAGCAATTCAATTGAAACTCTCATTTCAACAACATTTCGCAATAAGTTGGTCTGGCCTGGCTGCGTAACAATGCAATATTTTATAGCCAAACAGCCGTCCACCTGTACAGTGAGCACCACTGGGAGCACTTGCCTCTCCCCTCTTAGCCACATAAATTGGATTCGTTCGACAGGCCGCCCCGACATGTCTGCACTCGCATATTTGCCTCTACATTTACACTTGGGGAAATTGAAACAAGTTGAAAACAAGTTGAGGTCTTTTAAATAACATCCTTTAACATGAATGGGATCGTTGCCTACACACAGGAACGCCTTTCTGCATAATCAGTGATCGAACAAATAGGACTATCCGGACTATATTCTGTACTCTCTCTTCAAATGGATCTTACGCTGTTCAATTTCTTTGTGTGTATTACTGTTGCCACTGTTGAAATGCTGTAGCAAAGTTTAAGTTTGGAATTGCACTTTATTTCATTGGACGACACTCGAATCGGCATAAATAATTCATGCTTGATAAATTAAACAATATACTAAGCAGCCATTTGTTATGCATAAAGTATACGCCATGTGCGCCAGACTGTAACACACCCACGCACCGACACACAGACACACAGACAAGAGGCAGATAGAGAGGAGCAATAAGCGACAATTGCAACGCCTGCAAGGCCCAAAGCGGAAACGGAAACGTGCATAGTGCATGCCATTTGCACAAATATGGCATGGGGTTGGTGGGGGGTTGGACGGATCGGATGGTAACGGGAACTTGTCTGAGCCGCTACCACTATGCATTGTCTGTGAACAATTTGTTGTTGTGATGGCCGTTTATTTATGGCTGCTTAGAATAAGTCCTACTCTAAGGAGGCCCACAATAAGTGATGGCTGGGGGGTCGTGTCCATTCATTGTTGAGAGTTTTAGAGATGAGCTTAAAGGTTGAAAAATATGTTAATGGCTCGAATAAATGCACTAATGCAGCCAATGTCCCAACTGGGAGAACCCACAGCAAAGGAGGGGTCCCCGGCTAACCAGATTCCTAATTAACCAACCTTGACAATTACTCATAATCACTGCTGGTAGCCCTTACCACTGCCGGGGGGAACGTGCCGCAGTGCAAACACAACAGTAATTATGTAATGAATAAAAGCCACATTACCGTTGCAGCTGGGGCGAGGTGGGCAGGGATCCTGGACCCTAAATGACGCCTGTCGTGTGTCGCTCTTTTCAATAGCCTAGCCGTCAGATACTGTAATTGAAATGAAAATTACTGCAGCTGGCAGGGCAGAGTAGGGGCAGAGAAGGGGCAGGAGCAGGGTATGAGCTAGTGCTGCAGTAGGACCAGCACCCCGAACCCGTACAGTGTGGCTGTGACCCCCTCGGTGTCCCCTGTGTGCGACAAGCGATGGTAGAATAGGGCGTACATAATTACGTATACGTCATTTGCTATAAGGCAGCATTCATTTATGTTGATATGTCGGCTAAAGCTTGGTAATATTTCGGTTAAGGCGAAAGGGAACAAAGTAGCCGAACCCACAAACACTTTCACAGAATCCCCACACACACACGCACACTCGTGCCAAGCAATTTCCTTTGCTTTGTTGTGCAGCAAGCGGAAGATTTTAATGATGCCGTCGGTTTAGTCCGACTGGTACGGTACTGCTAGGCGGCAGTCCGAAAGCATGGCACTGGTACCCCCTCCTACGTGAATTTGGCATTTCCGAAGGCAGCCACGTGGAAGATCGATGGACGTTGTTCTACTGCCTAGCGCAACGTAGCGTAGGGAGCACAGTTTCGCCGCGTCGTGTCTCGTGCGGTCCTGGCTATTAAGTTAATTTAATGCAATTTAAAACGCCTCTGCCGCGGGGTTCAGGCATGGTGCCATGCGCATATAAAAGCCCACCCTCCTTCTGGCACTTTGCTTTCGAGCCTCGATGGCACATAGACTTCTGGCACTTTGCTTTCTCAATAGGTTATGTCTTACATCTAATTAATTATAAATATGCCGCCTTGACCACGAATTGCTTCTAACTGCAGACACTTGATTGAGCTGTCACCAACCGAAAACCAATTAAATTTTGCTAGCACAATTCGGCCGATCATTTCCTCCCAGAGGCTCCATGGGTTATGCTATCTTTGTTCTTTTCCTGTTACTGCCTAAAAATCGGTGGTTCTGAGCTTTAACATTGAGTTTGAAGAGCAGCTTAAGATTGGGTTAAAGTTTTCGACCTTAAGGGTGCTTTCTTTCGGTCTAAGTTTGGCCAACTGCCTCTGGAATATATTGTTTCAGCTGGCCATTGCCAAGCCCCAGACTTTGCTCCTGTTGCGTGCAACAACTTTAACTTTGCCGTCGAGTTGATCAAATATTTCGGTGTTTACGTCAAGTTGGGCGAGTTGCGAGTTCGGGCTGGTTGGGTGGATGGCAAGCTGCGCCCAAAATTGGTCTCTTCTTAGCCACTTCTTCTACAAAAGCAAGAAAGAAAATAAATAGTGCGAATAATTTGAAAGTAAACTCTGAACTCTGATGGCTTTGGGTAATTTATTTCAGGTCTTCCAAATGTATGCAAACTGTTGCAGTATTGCCGAACGTTAATATTTAAACTAAACACTGTCTTTCCCAAAGCTGATAACGTCTGTAATTATCTCTTCTAGTTAAACGAGACTCGACACCACAATAAACACAGGATACCGATGCACAGCACCTGGATCCACTGTAGGAGGTCCAACAGCTGAATAGTGCGTGGATAATTGGTGCGCAGAATCCCAAGCACATAAAATAAATTGCGGCTCAACTGCTGAGCATCCTCCATCCGCTCGTAGAAAGTGAACCAGTTGGGAACATTGTAAGCGTCGAAATAGAATCCCGTTGGGCGTGGCACGTTGCCCGGCTGGGCCGGCAAACAGTAACCAGCCGCATCGTTGGGCCCATCGCAGTGAAACGGAATGATGTCTTCGTGCAGGATCAATGGCCTTGAGCACCGGCAGCATTTGGGATGTGCTTTGTCGTGCAGCTGCGGCCACAGGCAGCCCCAGCAGTAGAAGTGCCCGCAGATGGTAATGACGCCCCAGCGCAAGTATTTGGCACACACGCAGCACTTGTATGGCTCTAGCTTTTTGTTTATGCGCTGCAATTGTTGATTATTGTTGTGTACTCGTAGCTGGAGATGTTCAACACGTTGAGTCGACTGGCGGCTGCAGTCCAAGCTCGAATCAAGGTGCTGGGAGCCAGATTCACCAGCCTGTTCGGCATCCGTTGTGCCTTCTGCTTGCTTCGTCTCAGATGGGATGATTTCATCTACCTCAGGGGAATCTTCAATCTCATTGTGATCGCCATCTCGCTCCATGATTCTTTCTGCTTCTGATAAGATATTATATGTATTGATTTTATGTTTTCCTTTAGTTTTATTCACTTGTGACAAAGCTGGCTAAGGCTATCTTCGAATCAGGTTTCTGCTACACTTGATAACAAATATTACCAATAGTACGAGCTTAATGTACATAAATAAAAAAGCGATTTGTTATGGTTAAATATATGCTGAGGTGTTTTTTTTAGTTTAATGCTTTGGCTACTTGATTCATTTTTATTTAGTGAGCACTCTGCTATCGTTGCAGCTCTTTTAACGACCCAAAAACTGGAGGATTATATAAAGTTTGTTATGGAAATGGGGAATTGTACGGATATGCAAGGGTTCGAAAGATTCCAGGCTGATTGATTGATTTATAATGGAATTGCATTGCATTGTATTGCAGCCGCCATTCGCTTGGGGACTTTCAGTTGCAGCGGAACCGTAGTGCCTAATATTAAATTTTGCCAGCCACTGGCATAATGCCAATGGCAATTAGACGAAAGCTGTTACAGCCCGCCACGGCTCGTAAATTCCGACCTACACACACCATGCACTTGACAGCCTCGTAAAAAAAAAAGAAAACTGCGAGCATTGGAGGAAGCAAAAATTCGCCAGATGTCTGACATATGTTGGAATAATTTATGCGAACGTTGAACCAGTGCAGCGCCGCGCTGTCGCTGTCAGCGCCCAGAACTCGACTTTGCAACTCCGATTCGGCTGCATTTAAATTCTGACAATTGTACACGCTGTCCTGTCCCGACACACATTGTTTAATCCTGAGGCCCAGCATCGAGTTGGTGGTTAATTAACCCACATTCGTGATCGTTGTCCATAATTAAAAGAAAATAAGCCCCGGGACAAACCAATAAACACAGAGGCACACACACTCACCAACGTGATAATGATCATAATAATAATAATAAAAGTTAATCATCACAATGGAATTGCCTACTTAATCGTACCGAGGTTTCATTTGTTAGTTGCAGAGCCGAAAAGTACCCTGTAACTTATGGTTATGGTTAGTTGCATCTATGATCTGTAGACCTGTTAAATTCTTTTATGTATAAAAGGGGGAAATAATGCGAGTAAGTTTGCACCAATGGGGAGCATGGAGAGCACAGAAAGTCGATGCCTTGCGAACGTGTCGGAAATTGAAAAGCTCACCTTTCTGCCCGCCGTCCAGCCACTTGAATTGAAAGGAGCGGGAAATATTGTACATTAATTGTGACTTTTTCACATTTTACCGACTGCTGACATTTATCAGGCATTAATAATTACGTGTTAATACGTGAAATATGATTAACATTTTATCAGTTTACATGAATCATTTTTGCACGCGATTGTTCGCTGGCAGCATAATTTTTGTAGCCACGGATTGCCGGACAGGACAGCTTGGCTGAGCCAGAGCCAGGGCCAGTGGCGTGCAAACAACGCCATTTTATTGCCTTCATTTGGCTGGATGACCGCAGTGAGACTGATAGGATTGCAGCCCCAGCCGGAGAGTACGGGTTACGTAGAGCTGCTGCTCTAGTCATCCTTTGTTTTCCTATTTGATTTTGGTATGGGGGGGGGAGGCAGTCCAGTGTCATACACTTCGTATACGCAATAAGTGGGCAAAAGCAGCAGGGAGCAACAGAGGGATCGAATAACCGCATGCGCTGGCCATTAAATGCAACAATAAATTCGGAAGTTCACTCAGTTCCGACGACTGCCATGGAATTTCCGAAATTTAATTAGTTGGCATTTAATGTTAAACATTTTCAGTGTCCTTGCCAGTTGCCAGCACAGCGGCGCGGCGCGGCTGTCATTTTGTTTTTGCTTGCTTTTTATTTTATTTTTCAGTTAATTAAACGCACGCAAACATTTCGCCATTCTAAATTATACGCAATTAAATTCCAAATTACTTTCGACTCAGTTTCCAGGGCTTCTTGGCAGCGGCGCGGCAATAACTTAGCTGGAAATTTTATTGTAAGCCCCTCAGCCTTGCCTTGCCAAATGTCACTTTTGATGGGCAACCATTCGAGCGTAATTAGGCTGCTCTTCTTCTTGCGACCATACCCTTCCGAGCCCCCACCCACCCCTTGGAAAGTTAACTTTAACTTTTGCGCTGGCGAAGTTATTTGAAAGCCTTTAAGTTTGTGTTTAACTTCGTTTGTCTGCCGTTGAAAATTGCACTACTGTCTGCCGGCTTCATTATGCAAAATGCAATACACAAGCCCATGTGAAGAGGCTGCTTGTCTTCCTTATGAGTTTTCATGCTCAGACCTGACTGCCTTGCCTCGAAAGAAGCCATAGCCATACACCCACCCTCGCCACCCCTGGCATCAGCTGCATCGGTCTGATGGCATTTTCATTACCCTACCAAAAGAGAGGAGTATCAACTCGATTCGAAACTGTCGGCAAAAGCCAAGCCCTGAGTTAAGTTCTGGAAATGTAAGTAAACAAATTTCATATATTATATATGTACATCGTCTCAGAAAGGGAATCCATTACATGTGGACATGGGTGGGAGTCCGTACAAGAGCATCTCGACATCGAATTGCTGATGGCACTGCCACATGCCCGTTCATACTTTTTTCGCATCACCTGTGAAAAGGAAGCGCCCAGACAGAACCGAATCTGTGTGTCAGTGGGCATTGGGATGGGACTGGGGGGACCCTGCACTGTGTCTGTGCCTTGCGTCGCACGAGTATAATATTTATATTATTGCAACTGCGGCGCCACATTGCTACGACATGAAATGTTTGGCGTTGCATGAAAACCAAACTTTATTTGCGATCCCACGACGCCGTCAACTGTGCCGTTGACTTCTCGTTGCAGTACCAACAATAAAGACGCTGATGACGCAGACAGCTGCTTAGGGCCCTGCCTTCTGGGCCCTGAGAGCCGCGGCCCTTTTGCGCATCTTCTGGCGCCGCATCTTTTTGTGCTTTCTTATGATCGTCACAAAGACGACCATCATAACGATGAGAAGGAGGAGAATGGTTAGGATCGATAGACCCAGGCTAAGGGACTTGCAGGCAATGTCATATTTGGTGAAGAGGCCGCTGATGTCCGTCGATTCCTTAAACTGTGAGAATGCCAGCAGCTTCATATACGCAATCGCAGCCACCAAGTTGGCGACTATCATCAGCAGCAGCGTCAGCAGAAGCTACATTTAGTGGAAATCGTGAGACCACCAATAGAAAGCGGCACAGTGGAACACTCACCGCGTACCGCATGTGCTGGCGGGTCCGGGAGTAATTCGAGTGGTACATCCAGGTGCTCAGGGCGTACAGACAGCAGAGGTAGGCGGTGCCGAAGCTGACGACCTGCTGCAGCAGCTGCTCATAACTGACGTAGACGGGCAGAGTGTTCGCAAAGAAGATGGCATTTAGCACAGAGAAGAGCTGCGGGGCACGGATATGGATATGAGCTGAATTGGATCGGGGTCAGGTCCGCAATTGGTACTCAGGTGCAACTAACCGCCGACAGCATGAGGATAATGGCAATCAGCTCCTTTCTGGAGATTCGCATTATAATGCGAGTTTCTTACTGGGAATTTCAAAGAGCAACACAATTCTGATTTTAGACTCAAGGCAAGCGTAAAAAGTAATGTATTTAAGCCCAGCCCCAGACAATGTTGCCATTATAGAAGCCATTTGTTCCGCACTTTCTGCGTTAATGCTGTACAGTTGTACAGTTGCACTCTGCATTTGCCTTGATGGATGGCCGCACCTTGTTGCTTACGGCTGAACTGAATACTCCCTCCGGCCAAGGTCGTACAAGTCTCTGTGGATTGCCGGCCTATTTAATGTGCGCAAAATCATTCAAAACAAATTGAAATTTCCATTATGGGCGTTATTGGCAGGACTGGGCGCTTATCTCACCCGCCCAGGCACGCACTCGCACCATGCTGAGGGCCGCCTCGCCCCATTGCCAGCCACTGCACAGCGTTGAACGGCAACGGGAACGGGAACCGGCAGCCGGCGCTAATTCATCAACAGTAAAGGCAATTTAGATACTCATCTAACCGGATATCGACAGACAGGCAGGCTGGCAGGCTGGCAGGCAGGCAGATAGGCGGCCAGAAGGCAACCGACTCCATGTAAGCAGATACCCTCATCCTAGTCCTAGTCGAGGCTCTCCCCTTATCCGCCCTTGTCTGCGGCGACGAGCATCGTGGAGCAGCGTCCTGCAGACAGAGTTTCATAAAATATTGATAGACGTGAAGTTGGCAGCGCACACTCGTACCCGTACCCCGTACCCGTACCCCGTACCCGTACCCGTACCCGCTTCCTGTTCGTGTCTGTCGCAGCCATAAATAATTTGCTGTAAATGCAATCGTGGGGTTATACGGGGAGTAAGCGAGTCCGGCAATGGACTCACCGTAGCCCACCCTCGGTTCGGGCCTGGTTCGAGTACCCACGATGCTAATGGCAAGGCACACGGTGCGAAAGTGTTTCGTATGAATTATTCGCTGGCAGCCAATTTGGAGTCACGTTTACCAGCACAATTGAAACCGAACACCATCCTGAAGTTGCCATAGAACGGTGGTTGGATGCCCAACTAGAGCTGGTGGCGCCACCAGCCATTGCCACCCCTCCTGTAGGGTATGACGCTCCTTTTCTGCTGTCGAAATGTTGTAATTTGTTATGTCTGCCACTGTAGCTGCTGCTGTTTGCTGCTGCTGAAGCCCCTGCCCCTGTCTACGAGTATCTTTCGCTTTTTAATAGCTATTCGCTGGCTGGCTGCCTTAGCCGTTCGGCTGTTGTGCCTTTATCGCTGCCACCGAACGCGGCGGCATGGTGCATGGTAATGTGTATTTAATGACCCCATCTCATGTACACGGCGAAACATAATGCTCGTACGCCTGCTCCTGGCCTTTGGTCATGAGCACCCGTTGTCCACAATGGTCTCGGGCACGCCTAATGGCCACTGACCGCATTCAGCAGCCAGCTGACAGAGCAGGATCCGGATGCCTGACTGGTGCCAATAAAGAAGCCTCTTGCGCCTGTTGGCACGCATTTCAATTTTCTGCCTGTTTTTTTTTTGTTTTTAAGCGTCATCCATAAAACGTGAGCTCCAATGGGCGGACAAAGCCTCCTAATTGTCCCCCAGCACAGCTGTCGTATATCTGTTATCTCTGATTTATATTTATTTGCTTTGGAATATAGGTCCATATAGGTCCGAATTATTTACTGTCTAAGGAAAAAGGGTTCAAGTTGAGGATGTCTCTCCACTGGTGAGAATACTCGTATGCACAAGTTTAAGTTAAATAAATAATACCCAAATACTTGTACAAGCAGTACGCCGAATTGTGTCCATTCTGAGTCCCTGAGGTGATTAAATTACATTAACCTACACTCGAGGGCTCACAATCTGCGGCAGCTAATTAATATGCATTCTGCAGGTTTCTTAAGAGGGCATACAATACGATAAGTTGGAGCCGCTCCTAAACAATATCTTCACAGTCGACCAAACAATAACAATACTCTTAAGGGGGCATGAGTGGCTTGTGTACTCGACTGCTCAGCTGATTGGCACTTTCTCTCAAACAATTGCCCCTAATTGCAGACACTTCAGGAGGACAGCTGCACTGCACCTCCCCCTGCTGCTGCTGTCTCCTCATGTTTGTGCCACCCCACAGTGGGACCATTATCCTCCGCTTTCTGCCCGTTCCCTGTTCAATACAATTTTTATTCAGTTTTTATCGTAACAAAAAAGAGAATATGATAGGAAGATGAAGGAATTTGCATAAAGCTTTTAACCTAACGATGTGACATTTGCTTTTTATGTGATTCATTGCCCTCTCCCACTTCCCACCTCTGCAACAGAAAGTGCAACGACATCCATCCCCCACACAGCCCCCCCGCCAACTTCCGCACAATTATACAGCAATTTTAAACACAACAATCGCTCTCAATGACCCGTCAGCAGAGAGGAACGAATGGCTAGATCTGGTTTGGCACAGGTCCGGGGCCAAGACTTTTGATTCTGGAGCGCCAGGGTCGCTTAAGCAGATTGATGCCATCGCTGGAGTGGGTAAAAGCTTCCACAATGGCTGGTAGGAAGATTGCTTTCCCCGCCCCGCACCGACCCGCCTCGGCGTCTGCTTTTATTATTATTCTCCGGCGTCTGACTGCAACTGTCAGTTGGGTAATTTATAATGAAGTTTCCTTATTGACAATGGCAGGCGGGAATTACCCCAACTCGCAGCAGAATGACGATTTCGATTCTGATTGCGATTGCGATTCCGACTCGGAGTTCGCTTTCGCGTTCGCGTTTGTTCGCGTTTGCGTTCGCGTTTCCGTTGCACTGATTTTAGTTGGCATGCATGCCGCTCGGCATAAATTATGGACAACAATGATTCTCAAGCTCCTCCTTCGCTTCGAGGCTGCAATGCAATAAATTGCTTGTCAAATCGCGACTCCCACCTCCACTGACAGGCAGGCAGGCAGCTAACTAAGAAGTTTCCAAACCGATTGGATGGCAAACAAATAACAATCAAAATCACTTCTCGACCCCAAGACGATTTATATGAGAAATCACAGCACTGAGGGCCCCTAATCGCTGAGGCCAGCCGCATCATGAGATCGTCAATCGTTTTGATTTATTGCCATTTTATTTGCGCATATCCTTATTTGCTTTGTGTCGACTTATGGCTCAGGCCCCAGACCCGACTCCAGTCTGGCCCCAAGTAGCGACCCCAAATCGCTGCCAGCCGTCAGCCTATACCGAGGCCATTTTATTGTTCGATATGTTATCAGAGAGCGTTCCAGAAGATGGCAAATATCATAATTTTTGCAGGACTTGCTGCGTTGTGTTTGCTCGGCCTGTCACAGTGCCGTGCCGAGCATAAATCTAAATTAAATGCCTTTTTGAGCAGCGGCAGGAAAGAAGCGCAAAAGAAATTATTTATATTCAGCACATTGTCACTTGTTGTGGCCAAGAAACCAGCTCGGACTTGGAATTGGACGTGGAGTTTAACTACTGCTCCGTTGGGGACTGGGTCTGAGGCTGAGACTGGCCTGAGACTGGCCTGCTTAGTGGTCGGCGGAAATAAATATTAATCATTGTGTAATAATTTTCTGCTGTCAGCTAAATTTAAGCAAAGTATTCATAATCCACAAGTAAGAACCGCTTTTGACAAATCGTTTTGCGGGCCAGCCGTATTAATATTTATATTTACGAGTATATTCCTTGCCAGCCCTTAGCCCTGTCCCATTCCCCCCGTCCCTGCTGCTGTCCGTGGCGATGCTGCTGGCAGAGGCAGTGGCGGTAGCAGTTAAAATGCTTTTAAAGTTGTGCAAAGTTGTGCGTGTGCGGCATTCACTGATTTGATTTCCTTAATGCTGTTTTCATTTGTTTCTCTAACAACTTTTTCCACAGTTGGGCGCAACTGTAAATCAGTTTTATCTGCGCCCAGATCCTTTGATGTCGGTGCTAGGGTTAGGGCAACGGCTACGGCTGTGGCTGCGGCTACGGCTACGGATGGACATGGCCAGAGTAAACGAGATTGCAATAATCAAAATGTAATAAACAGGCCGAAGAGATTCCTTCACACATCTCCACTCACGGACACACACACACACGCACACAAACACATATGAAGCAAAAGCGCTTTCAACTCCTGGGTCAAACAAAAATGTTGCTTATGCCTGGGACCTGTACGAGTATGCTGCTGGCTTTGTCCTTTGGTTGACTCTTAGCATTCGATGCACGTAACGCATTGTTTGAATTTCATGGCGACTTTATGAGTTTTGTAATCAGGTTTGTGAGCAAACAGACCCAAACTCACCCACACACGCACCCAAACACACGCACATGCTAGGTCGTGTTAACCTGGCCATAAATATTGTTTCTAGTCGCCACCGCTCTGATGTGGGCGTGTTGACAAGTCAGCCGCCGGTTAATGCTAATGAAACCTGAGCGGACTCAAAGTGGTGAGCCCTGGAGTTTGGGCTTTCCTCCTATTAAGCCATTTTGTGGTCTACAAAATCCACTTAAAGCGTCTGGCAACCAAGCAAAATATTTTATTGCATACTTTTATGCGCAGACATTACCTGCAGCGCCACACACCTCCGACGGGCTCGAACCCGGCACGGACCGTCGGCATTGGTAAAAATGCTCAACAATGTGATTTATATGAGTATGCACTGGAAGCACTTAAAACTAGACACACAGACACAATAGACTAGCCACACCCAAACGCCCGCCTCCTTTGTTGTTTGCTGCCACTTTTGGAGCACTTCCAGGGCTTATGTAGTCAGCGGCGTCTGCGAGCGCCGTGCTCCGGCTTCCTCACCCACCGGATGTCATTGGCAGCCAAACAAAAGCCGCCTTGTAGCAGGCAGCTGATGCTGATGGCCAGAAATTAACTAAGCAGCAGCATTGGCTACAAAGTTGCCGGGCCAGAAACAATGCAACACTCACCCACTGCCACAGCCCTGCCATCTCGCCAAAGCAAACAAAAACAGCTTCATTGTGACCACATCGCATCGTATCGCATCGCATCGCATCGCATCCCATCGAATCTCATTCCAGCTCTGTTTGCATGTCTGGCTATCGGCCGTACACTTGGAAGCATTAAATAAATATTTGCCATGCTCTGCAGGAATTTTGAGCCCCCAGTGCCACAGCCTACATACAACATATTCCCCCGACAAGGAGGAATATTCTAAATATCGTATCATCAGCATTTTTCGATAGAGTCGCCCCGGACATGGGGCCACGTCACACAGCCCTGCGGTCTGTGGGCAGTCCGGTGCTTACCATTTATTTTTTGATTTGGGTATTTATAGTAAGGTGTGGATGGATGTGTGAAGGGCGGCCGTGCGTGTCCGGGTGGGCCTGGGTGCCAGTGCGACCCGATGGTTGGGGGTGCTTAGTGTCAATATACGGGTATGTATGCATGAGTATCCCTGTGAGTGTGTCGACAACTTGAGTGGAATTTCGCTTGCTCCAGCAATACAAAATACAATCATTAGCTTATAGCCGATGATATTAATCGCAAGTGAAGGACAGCTAATAGTTTCTAGATGAAGGATTCGAAGCATATTGGAATTCTCCTTTGAGCAGCCTATATCGAAGCTTACACCATACAGCTGGGGAAAGCCCATCTGGCATTTAAGGCCAATATATAAATGGATATTTCTGGTACTTAAATATCTTGGAAAAACTATAGATATTATTTGTACGACATCCAAGCAAAATACTGCAATGCTTTCGCCTCTAGAATAGTTTTAATGCACTCGAATAATATTTGAAATGGGCCTCAAGCCATCTAAGTTTTCTTTCGGACAGTGTGATCGTAGAATGTCATGTATCCGTACAAGTTGGACTTAATCATGGTGCGCCTGACATTGCCACTGAATGGGTTTCTCTTGTTTGTCACCGGAATGAACTTGTGATCGCCCTTGTGAATGAACAGAAGGCCGTGCTCTGGATGGGCGACGGTTGTGTAGTTATCATTGTCGTTCGCGAAGATCTTTCGGCTGCGCCAGTCATAGAAGACGATGTCGGAGGGCTGGGGACGTAGTAGTTTCTTCTCCTGGAAGATGGCCCGCCAATTGACGGCATTGGGTCCGTCGAGTCTGAAGTTCCGCAGACTTGCCTCGAAGTCTATATACCCAGATATGGCAAAGCCGCTCTTCTGGTGTATCTCCAGGAATATTATGGTCTAGTAGGGAAGTTGGGTCTGTTCATTGTTCATCTGTGCTTACATTACCCCGACTCACCGAGATCTGCTGCTGCACGTTGGGCGCCTCGCGCTCGGCCAGCGCCACAAGAGCAGGATCCTCACCCTTCAAATAATGGCTGTAAAATGCATGCAGGACTACGGACGGACGCAGCAGAGATTCCACTTGTTCCTTGGCTATCAGAAACTGCTCCTCATTGTAAACATTTCCATTGTCGCGATATCCCAGCTTCGTCACGGTTCGAACTGTCTTATGACATGGCAGATAGCGATAGTCCTGGACAATAGCAAACGATCTCAGATAATCCTCGTAGTTGTTGAACTTGACCACGCTAAAGTCCGTCATCGCTCTAACCACCGACACAAATATAAATAGTAAAAGTAAAGTAAATATATCTTGTTGTTAGGGCTTGTAGTGTTGTATTACTTTTAGTCGTGTCTGTGTGGCTGACTCTAATCTCTTCGGCTACTATGTACATGGGTATACAATTTGGTAAAACATTTCACTATTTGGCACGCAACTGTAATATCTGTTAGCCACTGCAACATCCTATCAGCCCTGCAGCACGTACGTAATCAAACCGCAAATTATGAATCAGTTCACAAAAAGGGAGCGTCCCTTTAACATTTGAACTTTAGAGAAATTTTAAATTTTATCCAAAAAGCTGAATACACGAAAATATATATTAACTTTATTTGTGCTTCAGCGCTATCGTGGGTAACCCGAAAGTTGATGAAAATCGCGCACAGACACGCCGCAAATGTCACAGGAACACAAGCCTTAAAATCGATGTACTATACATGCTTAACAGCCTACATTTTGATACTGAAATTGAGAGCGGGGAGCATGCAGTCTATTTAAATTTATCAACCGTTTAGAGCGATTCCCGCTCCGAGCACGCACACGTCGACAGCCGAACGAACAGCTGGCATAACAAAAGCAAAAATGGCCAATGCGTGCTGAACATACGAATCGGAAATAATTAACTTGCATGCTAATTAGTTGAATTATCAATAGGAGGCCTGCCTCGAGTATTTATTGACATTAAAACTACCCTCACACGCGCGCAGACCAGTGGGAAAAAGCCTTCCTGTTGTTTATGTCCCAATAAGTTGGGGGCGATGCCTGTGATAACTGAAATTTGTTTTAGTTGCATAAATCCCCACACAAACCATGGGGTGTATCTGGCATTTAAATATATCAAGTGGCAGCCCTGATACTGGTTGTTATTTACATCGACCCGGGCACCAACACGCACACGTTGCCATCAACAACTGCAATATCAGCAAGCTCTTTGCGAGTGTAATTTAAGGCCTCAGTATAAATCATCAGGTCACCCACAGCCCACAGCCCACAGCTCACAGTCCACAGCCCACATGCCCGCAAAGAGGACCCCCCATCATCCACTCACTCACACGAAGAGACAATTCTGTAAAACACTTTGGGCATCCTTGCCCTTCCCAGCCATGGGGCTGGGCTGCCTTGGCATGTGTTGAATAAATTTATTGTTGTGCATAATGCTGGCCAAGATCGCAAACTTAAAAAATTGCCATCACGACTATGAATATAAAATGCATTGCATTTGTGAAGAGTGGCGGCGGGCTGCAAGTGCAGCCCGGAATAGATGTCCCCTCATATGTGTGAATGATGGCAGCATTTAAGAGCAGGCGGAATGGTCGTGACAACGCGCGATGCGCGCTCAGTTGCCTTATGGTCGTAATTATGAATATTAATTGCAGTGTTAGCCGCGAAAATGTTTTCCACAGGAGGATGGCGCGACCTTAGCGGCTGGCGACAGCCAATGCCAGTCCCCACCAAGCTATGCAAATAGACTCAAAACTAATGGCGCAAAAAGGAGTCTATGAATATATCACAGAAGATTAAGTCCCAAATGATGTGAAAGGGGATGAATGCGCAAAATTGCCTGACTCCCCCAAACACTAACTCGAACAGACCCATACCCATGCACAAACACACAGAACCTAAACAAATAGACGCAAAAAATATTACTACAGAAAGTGATATGTTGCGGATGCGTTGCCAATGTCAGAGAAAAAAACAGGCCATACTAGGGTTACACTAAATACAGGTCTCCATTAAATATGCATTTGCCGATTTCATTGGGCTTGCTGTCTCTTCAAGTAGAAGGGTATCTGAGAAACATGATTAAGCATGTGAGGGTTAGACTATTTATAAAATGATTCGATACCCAGCTCAATATTTCATCTGGTAATTCTTGACGAATATCCTTAGATAGTGATCGCATCGTATGAATAATTCCCCAAATAAATTCGAACTCCTATAGTTTAATATCATTTGGCTTCATGTCAATTTGATTTATGTACCGCTGGGCTTGGTTGGATTTTCGGTAATTATTTTGTCCATGTGCCTGAGAGAGCTTTGTAATTTTTGTGAGCGAGTGCACTTGAAAGTTTTTCCCCTCAAGTGTTACATGGCGTAGACGTAATTTTTCAATTCGTACCCGTTCCAAAGTACTCCCAGCATATCAGCGTGTCTCTGTTTGTCCTCTTTAGCTGTCATGTTTCATTTCTGTGTGTGTGTGCTTGGGTATGAGGGTGTGTGCATGCATGTATACTTGTTTTTGTTCTCTTTTTTGTGCCCTGTTGATGTTTAGTTTTTAGACAAGCCGGAAAATATATTTGAATTTTATGCAAATTTTAATTGCTTTACTTTGCCCGAGAAATTTATGACCGGCAGCCAGAGGCAAAAAAGGACTTCGGAAAAAGGGAAAGGAATCATCTGCATTAATATTTTAGTGGTGCCAAAATAATTTATATCCATTCTCAATGGTCAATTCCCGACGTTTTCGGCAATTATCCGACATGTCGACAGAGAGTAGAGTGGAAACAAGAAACTGCCAAAAATTGTGGCAATTAATTTTCAGAAATCATTAAAAAAGATTACCAAAATAGCAGCTACTCGTTTTGCCCTCCCACTGGCTGATTAGCCAGTTAGCAGTTCGATTTCCGCTAACTTAAGTGACTCTTTTAATGTCTTGAGTGCAAGGAACTGCATCACAGCAACGACTACATATTTATTGGTACTATTTCTGGCTTTTATCCTTATTTTATGTTATTCCATTGAATGCCAATTTAATCTACTATGACAGCCAATTGTGTCTATGAATATACAAAAAAAAAAAAACATATTGCGGGTTTGTGTGGGGCTTGAATATTAGTCTGGGGGGGGCGTGGTCGTATTGTTGCGACACTGCAGTTGTTATTTTAACGAGAATCAATTTCTGCTACATTGACAGAAATGTGCATAATAACAGAAATGCTTTTTCCATTCTGCGATGCAAAGGAAGTCATAAATAACCCAATAGCTGACTGGGCAGTCCAGCCAGCGTCTTCATCGTCCGTCTTCCTTTGTCGGGCCCCGAACACCCCAGCTCTGCGCTTTGGCAACAAATGCCAAAAGCGGGGCGCGCCCATTTTTATGCTGCATCTGCGCCAATAGTATGTAGTTGGCTGTCCACCCAAAGGCGACTTCGTCGTCGTCTGCCCGCATGGGCGCAAATCAAGTTATTACGGGCATGGCAATGCCCCGTCGATGGTCCGAGCCCGGACTCTTAGCTGGGTGCGTCACATATGGCGAGCATAAATAGCTTCAGCGTATCCCATTGAATGGCCGTCCCGTTCCGCCTGCTGTCTACAAACTTTCTTTATACGCTTTCCATGAACATTTCGTGGCTGGTCTGGTTTATGTATTTAATGGACTTTGCACAACTTTTTTTCTCTGTTTTTCCATTATTTGATTCCCTTTATTTTTTGTTGGCAACGCGTGCCCGCCCCCATCACAAGGCATGGGACCAAACCGGCCAAGACGCGGACGTATTATGTCCATTGGCAAAGTTTTGTGACGCCGCCATTTATAACCCCTTACATCCATCCAGATTAATAGGAGGAAGATATACAAAGATATAGGAACAGTCACAGAACATTCTTAAGCAGAGGAGGCCGAATTATTTGTACCGTCCGCGCCCCTCCCATGGAACTGAGCTCAAAAGCGCAGGTCAGGCTTTTAACAGTCTACAAGTTTTTCACAGCTGTAGCATTACATACATATATGTATGTGCAAATGTAAAAAAAAACAAAAATACGAGTATATATAATACATAGTAATAGCTCAGTGAAGTTTTACTTACATACAAAAAATGAATTAAAGGCCGCCCAGCCCCGTTCAGTGGTTTGCCTTAAGGTACACAGCCTTGACATTTGCACAGCACAACCCACCTTCAACTCTTGCTTGGCTTACAAAAAGATAGCCATAAGGCCTTTTATTTGGCTGGCTTACAAATTCTTTTCAATGAGCTCTTTGCAGAGCTCTCGCTTGCATCCAAAGGGCAGAGGTTAAACCAACAGTGGTGCACGCATTGGGGTTTTTCTTTTTGCCAGATTCAATTCAGCTGTGAAACTAAAATGTACGTTGGTGTTGGTCAAACCCTCTCAAAGCCAAAATGAGGACGTTGGAGTTGACGTGCAGTGATTTCACCATCAAGTAACATAAAATTTCAGAGCTCAGAGTTATGCGGTGCACCTAAAGCAATGGCAATGGCTAACTGGTTTCTACGTTGACGTTACCAGGCACATTCGAAGCTCGTAATTATAATCTGTTTTTCAAAATAAAATTCCGAAATAAAACTGTTTGGTTTTTTGTCTGAATTTCCCACCTGAAAACAGTTCGTCTGCTTTTCCTAATGGACTAATGAGAGTTTAACAGCAAAGTATTCCTGTGGGGATGGGGAGGAAGCGGCAGCATACAGACCCGTGTGTGGTCAATTGGGTACTGATTTTTAAATTAAACCCCGACAGGAGAAGGGCATAAGCAACCCTTTCACAAAAAAGCATTAAAATTAATCGTTGTAATGAAATAAAACACAGACATTAAATAATTCTACACACATTGCAGCTAATACAACTCATGGAATCACATTTGCATGCCTTTGTTAATTAATTTCCAATGAAAATGCCAAAAACATTGCATATAAATGTTACTATTATTGTTGTTCCGACTTGATTTGCCGAATTAAATTCAAATTTCCAGAATTTTTTATATTTTACCTCTTTATCTCTCACTCTCTCAATGTAAAGCAAATTTGTATAAAAAACAATGCTTGTATCTTGTTTAATGCTGCCAACTCCTGAAAATAACTTTCAGAGTCATCCAATGCGCTGTGGCCTGCGAGGCCAGTGAGTGCTGATGCTCAATTAGAAACGCCACAACCCTCCAGGCAGGCGAGACGGTGCTCCCCATTCTGACTTTATTAAATTAACGTTTCATGTTCGTTTAATGAACAAAGGAAGCCGAAAATAATGATGCTCGGAGGGAGGCGAGTTTGTGGTTGAGACTCTGGCGCAGACGGTGGCGGAGGGGAGTGTAAACGTGTCGCATACTCACCCAAATACAAAAATAAAAGAC